TGCGGACTCCCATCTCTCCCGCTCCCTGCCGCCGCCGCTTTCTGCCATGTCGGTAATTACTACAACCATGAACGCGGCGCAACCATGCAGGGAATTTTTTTTAGTCAGTTGAAACTTAAATTATATTTCGATATTGTATAGATTTTAGGCTAATTTCTACCTAACTTATTTTGTTTTTAGAACTCTGTGCTGTAAATGATTTAAGATAATCAGACATAATATGTTAAAAAACCCCATCCCATAAAGAACAAAAAGTCCCCCGTGGGTAATTACTTTCGAAGGGTTACTTTTCCAGGAGGATGTGTGTCCACGGGCACAATTTTATCTTTTATAACTGCGCAAAATTTTTAGCAAAGATTGCAGGTGCATCCGAGTGTTGGGGTGCACCATAAGCRAAAAATTCGTATTTTTCTGGCTATTGTATAGCGTTTTCAACAAACTACTGCCCCGGGAAGCTGCTGCTTTTACCGTCGTGAAGCCCCGCAGAGTCGAGCAGGTGCCCCAACAGGGCGCAGCCTTGCCAGGAGCCGCCCGAGGCTCTGCCTGGTGCGGGCTCTGCTCCGAGTGCCCGCAGCCCCGCAGCGCGGGATGGGACCGGGTGGCCGCGGCAGCGGCACCGAGGCCGTGGCTGAGCTGTACTCTGTGCCCGTGCCCAGGTTTGGTTCCAGAACAGACGGACCAAGTGGCGGAAGAGACACGCGGCGGAGATGGCCTCGGCGAAGAAGAAGCACGACTCAGAGACAGAGAAGCTGAAGGAGAGCTCGGACAATGAGGACGATGACGAGTACAACAAGCCCCTGGACCCCAATTCAGACGACGAAAAAATCACGAGGCTATTGAAAAAGCACAAGTCCACGAACCTGTCCCTCGTCAGCCCCTGCAGCACCAGCTCGGATACGTTGTGAGGGCGCGGGGCCGACGGCTGCATCGGGCAGAGCGGCGGGGTGAGTGTAACTGGGTGTTTGAAGTGGTGTTTTGTACAGACTAAAATGTATGTGAAATGTATATATTTTTTACAGAATAAGTTATGAAATTATTTTCTTTCTCATCGATGTAAATTTCAGAGAAATTTTTCCAACTTTTTGGGTTTTGTGTCCCTTTAAGTTTCCCGTTCTTTTCTTTAGCCTTCCTGTTAGTTTCCTGTTCCTAACAATCAGGTTTTGTTACGTTTACTTTTGGTCCCAAGTCTGATCTCAGCCACTTTGTATATAGTAAATTTCAGATTTTGTGATGTATATTTCTAGTGTAAAAACGGGAGTTTTCTTTCACTCCGTCCCTCAGTGTTTTGGCAGTTTCATTTCTCCTGCCTCCGGATTTTATGCTTAACAATACCAAAAAAAGAAAACAAGGCCCCCAAAAAGCACGAGAGGAAAATGGACACTTGATTTTACACTAGAATGTCTCCACACGTGTTGGAAAGACTTTGTACAAATCAATAAATTATTTAACAACCTTCTCCTTTAGCGAGTTTCTTCCCGCATGTATCTGCCAGAGGCTGGGGAAACCTGAGCTCCTGCAGTGCCCGCAGTCGGGTGCCCGACGCTGCTCCAAAGGGAAGAGGACCTGCTGCTGCCGGGAGCRCCGGTGGCTGAGCCGGGACACCCCCACCCCTGGGGCACGGTGGAAGCCGTGATCATTGTCGCACGGGAACCCGCGCTATGGGACACCCTGACAGCCCCGGAATGGAGAGAGACCCGGGGCCGAACGTGCAGTCCGAACAGCCGCGTACGGGGCCGGGAGCGCTGCTCCCTGGCCTCAACAGCGTTTTGTCGGGCGGGTGGCAGGGTCTGCTCCGGAGAGGGGAGGTAGGGGCCGAGGTCTTCCCCCTGCGCTGCCCGGTACCGGCCGCTGAAGTCGTTGAGATCCGCGGCGGCGGTCTGCGAGCTCCACCGCCCTGGCGCACCTTCCTGCCGGGCTCCGGGACCTGCCGGCGTACCCGTGCCCGAATCGGCTCCCGTGTGATTATTCTGCGGCTGCCGAGGCGCTCCCAGCTGCCGAGACTCCGCATTTCTTTATTTGGCACACGGGAGGCACGGTGGGTGGTAAGCCGACCGCCTTGTTAGGGTGCTTTCTTTTCCTTTTTATTTTTTTTTAATTTATTTTTATTTTAAATGAATGAGACGTTCTCTTCTCCGTGTGTCTCAGCTATGGCTTCACAGCCCGAGCAAAACCAGAGGCTGCAGCGCGGGCGGTCCCGCTGCCCCTGCCTTGCAGCMTCCCCGTTCTGCACCGGGCCCGGTCCCGCACCGCGCTCGCCCTCTCAGTGCCGGGGTCCCGCACGGCGCCATCGCACACCGCGGGGGTTCCGCGTATGTCACCACAAGGGCCCGCGTCGGCGCGGCTCCGCGGGGGAAAAGGGCCAGGAGCTGYTCCCTGGGTCCCGGTGCCGCCACTCCCTGTGACCGATTCCCCTTCGCTCCTGCCGAAGCAGCTCCCGGCTCACGGAACGGGGCCGCGCTCCGTTACACCGCGGGTACAGACGGAGTAAATCGCCTTTAGGGACTACTCTTGGTCCGGCTGTGAGTACGCTGGGAGCGGGTCTGTGTTGGCGCTCTTGAGGGGAAGCGGCTGGATAAACACACCTGCGCTCGGGGCTTATCGTTCCCACAGCTCTCAAACGGGCTCGCAGGGAGCACCGCGATACGGGAGAAGGGGACACCGCGGGACTGGCACCCGGGGACACGGCCCCAGGCAGAGCGGGGACCTGACAGGACCTGTCCCTGCCATCCTGGGCAGAGCACTGACAGGACCTGTCCCTGCCATCCTGGGGCAGAGCACTGACAGGAGCTGTCCCTGCCATCCTGGGGCAGAGCACTGACAGGACCTGTCCCTGCCATCCTGGGGCAGAGCACTGACAGGACCTGGGGCAGAGCACTGACAGGACCTGTCCCTGCCATCCTGGGRCAGAGCACTGTCGCTCCTTSGCTGTCCCGGGGCTGCAGCGCGGTGGATTCGCCTGCGGGGCTGTTTGAACGCGAAATTTGCATTTTATTAATTTCTGACGGCTCAATTCGGGGAATTGTCAGCAGCTCCCCCCGGCAGGTCACCGCTGCACCCTGCACGGGCCCGTGTCYAGTGTACAATGAATTCATCTTGAGGCTTCGATCCTGGCTGGAAAAAGCTAGAAGCTTTTTTCTGAAACTTGAGATAATCACGATGAAGTTCATGGTGGCACAATGACTGACCTGTTGAGGACTGGCATCTTGTGAACAGCTTGTAAAGGTGCATCACCTTTCTCTCACATCAGCTTCTCAATGTCTTTTCCTCGGTTTGTACTCTGTTTTGATTAACACCAGAACCGCATCCTATCACAGAGGTTTTCAAGTGAAAACCAACCTTGTTAATTGGCAGAGATTAAATCGTTAATTGGAGATTAAAAGGTATCTCAGGAAGAAATGTGACATTTTAACAATTTCCCAGTAATTCCCAATGCCCAAATTAAAGGGGCAGACACAGCCAAGTTCACCATGATTAGTTTTATTGCTTGAGGACCAGAGTACTCATTTCTAAAGGCCTTCAAAGTTATCATGAGTTGAGTTCGCTTAAATAGAATTACTGTGTAGTTATAATGCAACATGGCACAATAACAATACAGAGCTGCAGACACCCCTTTGGGCAACAACAATTGATATAAACTGGGTTGTACTGTTGAGAAAACWCTGCAAGCGGACATCAAATAATTTTCAATGGTAGTGATTTATACCAAAATCAAGCTTCAATCTAATGCCACTGCGCAGTCCATGAACTCTGTAGTGTTCTAAATTAAATCAATAAAACATACATTTGTGTTTCATCAACAGACTCCCTAATCACCTTTTAATGTTGTATTTAGTGGTGGGAGTCCTGTTACAGACTATATTGTAGGCTGCACTGAGCTACTAACCAGGACAATTTACAGTTGGGTTGATTTTTTTTTTTTTCCTTTAACACTGTATAAATACAGTCTGTGTCCAATACAGTTGCTACTTGAAGCAGACTATTATTTTCTTCTCCCATGTTGGTATTGTTTCAATATAGAATACTTGGCACCATAAAACAGTAACAAAAGACAGACAAAAACAGTTTACAAAATTTTGGAAAGTTACACCCAAACCTAGCTAAGAACTTCACATTCAATCCTTAATAGTACATAGAAAGGAGAGATTATAGGAGTAACAAAGTGAAACTGCTAATATATGTGCTATATAGTATGCTATATATCTGTATTCAGGATGGCACTACTATATATTGTATATTGTTTATCATATAAATGTTGGTTGTTGATGTACACTAAACTAAACCTGCTAAGACTCCAACACTAACTGCTGATATGGCACTCTCAAGCATTCATATTGGAAAGTATATTTAGCATAAGTTTTGGTCAGGTTTATAAATTATTTATATATCTGTGTATATATACACATACATACATACATATACACACACATATATATATATGTATGTATAGAAAGCAGCTGCTGTGTGATTCAAAAACCATGTAACATGGCAGTATAGTAAATAAAATGAGAAAAAATATTAAAAAAAGAAGAAACCCCAAATACTAAAACTATAACTAAAACACAAACCATAAGCCTTGGTCAACAAAGAAAATACCATTTAAAACCATCAATATCTCTATCTATACAATCCAATGTACAAAATCCCAAAGTGATAAAGATATATAATGTTAGGCATGATACCTTTAAAAGTTTATAATATGCCGAAATAGCTTTTCCACATTGACAAACACTTATTAAAAGTTGAAAGTTGTGAAATCTAGAATACATAACATCTCTGCTGTCTATTTAGAGTTTTGGCAACAGAACTGTGACATATATATAAAAAATAATTCCACATTTCTACTTGATGTCACATGAACATACAAGACAGTGAGGTATGTGAGGCTTCTCTCGAACAGAGTCCAGATGCTGAAGCATAGTGTACGACCAGCAGTCTAAAAATGTGGCACTCAGGACTGGATTTATCAATACAGCCGTTAGGATTATGGATTTCAGTGTGCTGCCTTCCCTCCTGGCTACAGTGTGGTTTCACGGAAAATCTTCTCACTTCGTAGGCATCTTTTTCCTGTTGCAGAATTGGCATTTTTTTAAAAAGAAAGATAAACACAGGGGAAATGATGTAGAAAATATAATATAAATGTAAAGAAAAAAGATGATATTTACCACCACATCACTGCACGACACAACACTTGTGCACATTTGCAATAGGTTTACCTGCCCCAGCAGCTATTCGAAAGGACAGGAACACAGGCTGCAGCAAGTTAGGGAAAAATAGAAATTACATGTTTGAATATACATTTTTTTTTTTTTTACAGTCAGTAGTAAATACAACAAAAAACTTCTCTATGACTGGAAACAAAATGTGGCAACAACTTTCTGAATTRATCTAATTACAAAATGCACAAGGGAACATCATCTCACAGATTTCTGCTCCCACTGAAATCTAAGGGAAAATTTTCCACCAATTTCTATGGGAAGAGGTTCAGGTCCCATACACATCTCCCTTTTGTCACAGTGTCAAACCACTGGAGAAGGAAACAAAAACTGCCGTTTCTGAACTGGCTGTCCCAGAGCTTTCTCTTTACTGAATAAGTTAGAATTGCTCTATTTTAAAACCTTGGATGATTCTGGACCAAATGCTTCAAGTTCATTTCTCCTTAGAAAACAATTCTCTCACAAGAACTCTGACCATGGAATTAAAAAGGGGTRTATATTTGTGAGTTTGGAATTACATGTACACATGCATCCATATATGTAATTACCCCCTATCCCTTTCTGAATTATTATTCAAGAGCCTCAGTGCTGTTTTTAGATAGGCTTTCAGAGGTTACCCCCTACTCCCCAACCGGCTTTTTCAAAGAGAGCAAATACTCTGTTTTGTTGTATTTCTAACTTAGGTTTCCATGTGGTGTCTTCAATAGAGAAGACTGATTGTACAATTCAGCTTTTTTTATTAATTTCAGCAACTGGTACTTCAGTAATTCTTCATCATTTTTCTTTATTCTTTTCATCATTTGTTGTTTGAACATGGAACTGCCAATTTGTTCTTGTACTAATAAGCACCTATGCATTACCTAGTTGAAGCTATGCTTTGAAAGCATCTTTGATAACCCAATGAAATCACTTCTGTTTTGCTATAACAGTTTTAAGTRCACAGATGGCTGCTCCTCTTCATTTGCACCATATCCTGATTTCATTCTAGCACCCATCATCTTGTTCTTTATTTGATTTTATACAAACAGCGATTCTGATATACTGAATGACTTCAGCTGAATTMAACTTTAAAACATTTTCAAGGTGTTACTTTAAAAACAGGGTAGAGATACAGCTGACTTAAAATTAACAGAACCTAGTGCGTACATTCTCCCTCCTAACAAAAAACTTAGAAGACAAAATAATAAATGTTTAATTTAATTACCTTGTGATCCCCCATGCAGACATTTGGCCCAATGTGGTCATATATTACTATCTTCTCGTCATTTTCTGACTAGTTAAAAAAAAAACCCAAAACACAACAAAACACTAGTCAGTCCAAGAACTCTCCACATTGCAAACACAGAAAGAAATATTTGAAATACTGTGCAAACAGGTGAAACCAGTTTCTGAATAAGGTGATATTAACACATCTTTGCGTGGCTTCTCCAGAGAAAGACTGTGTAAAATCACCGTTCATGGCCAGTGCTGCTTGCAGGGATTTGGACAGTTTGCCTGCACAAATCTCTGCCCCKGAGATCTCGGCATCTCCTCCCCGCTGATGGGACCTGGGGACGTTTCTGCAGCGAACACCGTGCTGGGTGAAATGAGTGACATCGCAGTTGCACTGCAGGCTTCTGCTGCAAAACACRGCGAGCACATTTGGCCACTCTTTTTTAAAAAACAACACAGTTTCTATTGAATTAGGTGAGATAAATGTTCTTTGAATTAAATGCAATCCATGTTGCCTTATAAGAGCATTTGATTTCATCATATAGGGGATTTTAAATGTTCAGAGAGATGAATGATTATTTTAAGGTTATGAGTATAATCTTTAACCATTTTTCTAAGATAAATTTCTTCATCTGAAAAAAAGCATTTAGTGATTTTAAGAAAAGCAGTAAATGACGGATGACATTCCTCCAGACTCCATTATGAATTGCTTTCATTTTATTCCATATTGAACTTTACCCTTATAGACTGACTTCTTTAGCATTTGCAGCTTAATGAATAATAAAATGTACTCATCTTTCTGCCGTTTGCAATAAACATGATTTGGAGGATCTATTTTCTTTCTCTAACACAGAACTTCAGGAATAAATACAAATACATTGCCATACAAAACAATTTCTTATTGTGCTAAACCATTTTTGTAAGCTAATTAAATCTGTAATCTGCACACTCTCCAGTCCTAGTACAATTGTAGATGTGCTTTAAACTAGTTGGCAGTACTAATTTATTTCACATGAAACAGTCAAGGCTTTCTCATCTGTAATCAGTCAAGTTTGACCGGGCAATAACTTTATATAAACAGTAGCATTTAGGACTATAAAGTTAAAACTGAATTATCTTTAATGCAGTAAGGAAGCTTAAGGTCAGATTTACTTTACAGCATGGTTGTCTGCCAAAAATATAAAAACATAACCTTCTGCATTGTATGCATGAGCACTTTCCAATATTTCAAGATCATAATGCCACCGGCATCGGAAGTGAGGATACATTCATCAAAAGCGACTTGATAATTTACAAAGGCAGCATAAAATTGTGGATTTTCAACTGCATAATCTTTAGACAGATAAACAAATTACAGCAGTGCACAAGCAGAAACAATMTACACTTGGCTGAGCATTCATTACTTCACGCGATCAGGCATCAGCGTCGCTCCCAAGCAGTGGGCAACCTTTGGTGGTTTAGGGCTCAGGAAGCATAAAATAACATGATGGTGAGGTAACCGACCATGGCATGATAGATGATGTTGCATGAAAGCTGTTTACAGCCCCATGTCAGTACAATCTGTAATGCCTACTCTGTAGCTGAACACACTGTACGGTGGTAATTTGGACACACTCTCCTTTCTTTACCTAGGACTTAAATGCAGATTTACTACGATTTTTGTTTGAAATAAAATATAGGATTGCTTAGGCAGAAAAAGAAGTACTGTATTTGTCTATGAGAAAAATTAATACAGCAAAAGAATTATCTGCATAAGAATATTCAATAGTTACAACTGAAAAAAWTCTTTAAAAATTAATATAAATTTCTATTTTAAAGATTTGTTACAGTGTAATCAGTTAATTAAAATTTGCTTTTACTTTTTTCAGAGTTCCTTTTAAAGCTTCAAACTACAGGTCTCTGCAGTTGAGTAGATTCTCAGTCAAGGCCATCACTACATCTTGTGTAGAACCACAGAAACCTGTAGGGTCATTTTGCCCTTTCCTCTATCAATTCAGCATCCTTTTCTAATGACTACTTTTATTAAGTTTTATGGGCCCAAATCGCAGTTTGGCACTGGGCTGGGTAAGCAAAGTCCTGTGTTGGTACAGACTSTCAGAGTTAAAGCCCAGTCTGGCCTCACCAACCCGTGTCACACGCGCTCCTGGAGATGTCCCAAACTGCCGGGTCACAACGCGCAAGTGCACAGTTCCAGAGACAGAATTACCTGCACTTTTAAAGGTAAGCTTTGAATGATCCAGCTGATTGGGTTTCTGTTACACAGAGACTGGAAATCGAGTAACTGACCTCACTGTTACAAACTTCTCCGGTGCTCTAACTCTGTTTTCCCTTGTTTAATTTTCTCCCATTAKATCCAAGTTATAGCCCTCTAGATAATCAGAAAGAATTCCTTTCTCTCTGCACTGTTTACACTCTTCAAGCTTTTGTGTACACTTTTATCTCCTTATTCACAGCTTTAAAAAAAAACATCTTCCCTCATTGGCCACTCTTTTCATGGTTTTAATCCTTTGTTCTTTTGGAATTTCATAGGCGCCAAGTACTATCAGTAATATTTTGGGTGAAGTCTCTCTTTCACATGGTATTTTTGTACAAGAAAACCAAATAACACTGATTTTGACATTACTRTTTGACTATAAAGCCTGTATTGCCCTTAGGCTTCACTGTTTTTTTATTAAACACTGCMATACATACACTGTCTAAAATTTTGGGTGGAATTTTAAGATGTCATGCACACGTTTTCACATTAAAATGTGTGAGGAAGTGAATTGACTTGGAATTTGCATAGCTATGGAAAACATGTTTCCAGCCTTTCAGTGAGTTATATACTGCAAAGCAAACAGTCTAATCAGGAGATAAATAACCCTGATGAGAGAGAAAAAAAGGTTATAAACTTCAGGGGAGCAAGTTTCAAGGGTGTAATTAATTTAAACAGGAAAAATAAAAGCCACGAAGCTACAGRACATTGATTAACTTGCAAAGATCATTTTCTGTAATTCATTCCCACTAAACTGCAGTAATTATACCRGAACACACAGACAGACACCTGCCTTTGGGCAATTTTGGGTTTGGCAAATCTGTTCGAGTCATGCAGTCCGGGCAGCAAGACAACCTCAGTGCAGCACACCCGTTCATGCTCTCCACCCACCCATGGCCAGCAGGCCAGGTCAGAACAGAGAATAGTGGCAGAGATCTTCTATCACACACCCATTTCCTCTGTCATTGAACCTTGGACAGAGCATCTCCAACTAACCCTAACCCTATGTATACACAATAAAATCCCAAGAGGAATTGTATGTTCTGAAAACATCGCACAAGTGCATCTTTAATGCTCGAATGGAATGTCTAAATTTAGGAACCTAACTGGTGTACCAACGTTAGGRGCCTACCTGCTGCAGACTGTGCTCATTTAGAGGACAGCCACAGATTTGGCCTAAGACTCAACACACTCTTCAGAAYACCTTTAGAAATCCACCCCGCTGGTACCTCAGGTGCCTCCAGCTGTTGCTGTACAAGTTTTCCTTTCAATTGCACGACTCCTCAGCCAGCAGCCACTGTACCTGCTTCTGTTTGCATCCCTGCTGAATCCTTGCTATGGACAGTGCTGCTGCTTATGTCACTGTAGGGTGACTGGGCTGGGAGACTAACGGGGACTTTTTRCAGGGGCTCTTTATTTTCTGTTCCTCTCTCCAAAGCAAGCAGTTTCCCTGTGCTGTGCATCCCTGCACAGCCCTGATGAGCACAGAAGTGGCCCAGGAGGGAAGGCAGGCAGGCAGCAGCTCAGACACCAAAGAAGTGCTGGTGAAAGCTCATCTTTTAGTCAGTGTCCAGGGGCTTATGGGGACAAATCCCGAATCCTGATGCAAAGCCCTGAGGCACACCCCTCTGTTCACCACCCTGCTGCGGTCTCCATCGTGGTGAGTGCTTGCAAGAGCCAAACTCAAGGACAGTCTTTCAGCCCTACCTGCCTTTGCTCCAGGTAAAWGCAGTGTGGAGGCACTGGAGGCTGCAGGTCTGTACTCACTTTCAGAATGAGCTCCTTGGCAGAGTGGGACATCAGGATTCTGTCGCACCAGGCTGGACATCTCGTGTTCATGTATTGCCTTCCCTGGTTAGAGTCCTCGCTGTAGGGATAACTGCAAACAAATCCCAACCACAACCATCARTCACTTTTGGTAAAGCAGCCTGAAACCTCTGGCTAAAAGAGCCACACTATTAAAAATATTTCCTTGTTAAAAAGCAGCACTTCTAGACACTTATRCATGTTTATCTTTCTTTTCTCCTCCCCCTTTCCTTTTCTTGAATTTGAAAATGTTCTCTTTCTTCATGTCTCTTCTCAGAACTACAACCCTACAGCAGCGTGAACATGTTAAGACACAGTTTCAAAACTCTCACTTCCTACCTTGAGCTTTTGCAYATGAGATTGTTTAAAGACTGCAAACTGTTTATCTGAGTGGAAATACAAAAATCTGTTCAACAACAACTTGAAAGYAGACAGCTGACTGTGACTATGGAAAATGTACAGGCAGAAGATAAAAAAGGAAACCTAGGGAAAAAAAAGTTCATCTCGTGGGATTTCTTTGCGGGATTCTCTCAAGAAGAGTTATCCAAGAACTATTTAACAGAAAACAGAGTTCAGAGTGGCAGGATCACTGCAGCTGTACACAAACCTCTCCTGTATGGAATCTTTAAGAGTGGCAGAAAGGAAGACAGGACAAGAAAGCAGGCTTTGCAAGGGATTTCTTCACAACTAAGGAATCAGGAAAGTGGTTTAAAGAATGTGATGCTGACTACATAAGATCCTGTAACTTTCTATGAAATCGTGTTAAGAAAGCCATATTCTTTTGTGAAGTCATCTTAAATAGAAGCAGATTAAATGCTAGTTACACTCTGGGGCCATCCTAAACACGCTATGACATATCCAGGGCATCTAACCAAAGATAACACACCTGGGCTGAAATCATCTGAAGCACCTGAAGGGCAACCTCTGGCTCAAACTCAACAGGCTGAGGCCAGAGATTTTCTTGTCTCATCCAAATGTCTTGACCAGTTTAGWAAGACAGAACTTTGCTTTCGATGATGGCTCATCACGCTGTAATGGCCACTGTTTTCTTCGACCATTTCCAAAACAGCATGTGGGAGCAGCTAAGAAGGGCTTTTGAGAAATCCAGAGGTGTGAGACAGGCTCAGTTCCTTSAATACTGGGCCTGAATGAATTGAAGTCTGCCCTTGAGAAAACCCTTAAAACACCKAAACACCTACATATGTATGTGAGTGTATTCGAAACAACATTTCCATTTTATTCTGCTCCTCACTGAAATCATAAAGCAAATACTGAGGAATGTCTGATATGTATGTTAAAATTAAATTTCTGGTATTGTAAAAAAAGGGTTTGCATGCTTGAAAAGAAACCTATTTACCATCCTGCTTGGTGTGATACTCTGAAACAGGGACATACAGCTCTCTACCAAATGGGTTTACAAGCTACACTGCCATTAAAAAGATTAGCCATGGCAAACATCCAAGAAAAGCACACTGAATGTATTGCAACAAACCAGTGATCTCAGTACGTTTTCCACCTCATCAAACCTAACAAGACTCATTTTCAAAACATATTATGAGAATTCAATTTGCTGCTTCACTGACATACAGAAGTACAGCTTATTTCTGAGTATCTGTGAAATATTTTGATGATGTAATACTATATTGGTACTAGAAGCTCTTCGCAACTTAAGGATTTATTTTTTCTCATAACCTCTTTACTTACTCCAGAACCCCACATAACTGAAGCTACTTTTTAAAATAAAAGTATAAGAATCAATCACATTTCATATAATCCTTTCTTTTACAGCATTAACTGTATGGCTTTTGAAATATGAAATTCCGTACCTGGAATGATCTGTTACTGYCATGTGTTAGAGCATTTAATCCTAGAGCCTATATTCTATGAAATGGTATTTATCAATTTGCTTTATCTATCTTAATGTTTTCATAGGGTGAAAACTTCTGCCAATTTTTCAAGGTCYTTTGCACTGATCACCAGTCAAAAAGTTACTGTAGTTCACGAATATCTTTGACAAATCAGAGTTCTAATGGCTGGGACAGAGATGAAAATAAATGCTGCTAAAGTTATCCAGACAAAATGACCTGTAGGTAATAATTTAATACAATAAAGCGAGACAAGCTCTTTTTATAAGGCAGAATCCTTCCTTGCAGCCAGAAGAATGGAGTGTTCTGTCTCGCTGCACTCTAATGAATAAAGCTTCTCTCCCCTCCCTCCATCCCCTTTGGTATGTGCAAGTCCCACTCTTAGTGAAACACTGACACTGACATAATAAAAAATCCTAACAGGATACATGCCCACAAAATTGGGAGAACTATTTGCTCTCCCCCTTCATGCTCTAGAGGGGTCACAAACGACCGGAATAAGAACAACACTTTTACAGATGAGCTCAGATGGTGATCATAGATAAAGATGAGACTCAAAATTCCCATGAGGGATTCTTTTTTTTGTGACTTTCTGGGTTGTAGGAACAGGATATTTTAGTTTATTATATGCCACTGATTTTCAATATATTTTTGCAAATAAAAGCCCTATTAGAGATTTCTGGAATATAACTGTCACTGAAGAAATTTTTGTGAAACATGTATACTATTACAGAACAAAGTTTTTCAAATAACACAGAGTCCAGAAGTTGTCTCCATCATCCTGTTCCATAGCTAAGTGACTAGTGGAATGAAAATAGTGTGACTGCTTCCAGAAACGAATCATCTGCAYGTAAACTCTGAGACTTTTGCTTGTTTGGAGTGTTTTCAAGGGTCTTGTCCTCACAGGGTACCCTGGTGTCTTACAGGACATGGCTTCCCTCGGATGTGTTCCCAGCAGCTGATGGGATCCAAACTCAGTCAAGGGGAGCAATGGAAGCAGGAGCCTGACAGATGCATCGGCATTTCAGGAAAGCTGACCGTTCTGCCAGGGCCATAACACAAAGATGCTGCAGAATCAAAGACTCGAGGAAACCTTCCAGAGCCCCAGAAGTGCCCCCCAAGGCAGCAGCTTTTGAGGCTGACACTGGACACTGACTGTGTCCCCAGAGCAGCCCTGGGTGTGCTCCTGCCAGCAGAGCATCCCCGAGCACAGCGTGTGCATCCCGAGAGCCAGGACAGAGTAACAACTCCTTTGGCTTCTTCCACACAGCCACTGCCCAGACAGCACTGATGGGACTGATGGGA